AGGTGTAAATGCCCTCCAAAACACATTCGAGATGGATATAAATCCAATCGCTCAAACCACTTCAGGAGGTGGTCTGGGCCACATTCCAGACGAAACTGGACAAGTGTAAATGCATCTGGTTGTTGAAACCAAATAGGTAAATTTTACTCCTCCCAAAATGTTAAAATAATAAACGCAGAGTATCTCTTCAGCAAGCCGACGCGCAAACTGCCGCGAATGAAACAAAGTAATACGCAGACGGTCAACACACAATCATCTTCATTAAAAGTAGTTTGGCTTGCACATAAAGAAAAACCCAAGTTAAAATAAAAAGATCTTCATCAGGACGCAAAAGAAGTGGTTGAAGCAGTATTAAAAGTTGAAGCCATGGGGGGTTCTGTTCAGGGTTGCATGTGTTGCAGGGTTATGGGTGGGGTCTTCAGCCACCGTCTAAATTGATTGTGGCAGGTCAGAATGAGGGCATGCAGGAATGTTCTGGAGTATCCTCACCTCCAGCTGACCTCTGGTGACCATCATTACACTGCATGAAAGAGTCAATTTGGAAACAAATCCTAGGAAAGCCGAGGGTTGTAAATAGAGCTGCTGTAGCTGCTGGATACAAAATGCTTGGTCTTCGAACAATGAATTGCATGAGTGGGTTTTAATTTGCTGATAAACTTACCACCAAGCAGACCAATGAAGATTAATGTTCTCTCAAATTTTTGTTACTGGTGAGCAAAACCTATTTACTTTAAATATACATATTATACTATATATATACACTTTTAAGATTTTTTATATAAACACACCAAATGTTATGTGCCACACTAGATTCGAACCTGAAGGGGCTATTTACACCTGGTCACTTCATGCGTTTTGTCTGATTGGATAGCTATCCGATCGTGAAAAGGCCAGGTGTAAATGCCCTCCAAAACACATTCGAGATGGATATAAATCCAATCGCTCAAACCACTTCAGGAGGTGGTCTGGGCCACATTCCAGACGAAACTGGACAAGTGTAAATGCATCTGGTTGTTGAAACCAAATAGGTAAATTTTACTCCTCCCAAAATGTTAAAATAATAAACGCAGAGTATCTCTTCAGCAAGCCGACGCGCAAACTGCCGCGAATGAAACAAAGTAATACGCAGACGGTCAACACACAATCATCTTCATTAAAAGTAGTAAGACAAACTTATCTTTCCAGTGCTGATGCCGCGCGCTCTCCTATTGCGGTCTTTGATCTTGAAATGAGCTGATAATTAATAAAATGCAGTGCTTATCTTTTGATTTCGTTGACGTCAACTCCGTTAAATTTAAATATAGCGTGGGAATTGAAGATCGGATTTATATCCGTTTTGCGACGACACATTTATGTGGCCAAGTGTAAATGGAAACGTTTTAACAAATCAGATAAGATATCCGATCAGCGAACACGCATGAAGTGACCAGGTGTAAACAGCCCCGAAAGGTTTGGGGCCAGTGGCTTAGCAGAGTGTGCCACTCTGTTGACGCACATTCAACAGGCTGATGAGGAGAGCTTTCAGTGTGAGAATGAGCAAAGAAAGGCATTGGTCAAAAGCATGTTGACCAAATTAACGTGCTAAGATAACAATGTATATTATGCTTAACCCAATAGCTGAAGAGTCACATTATAAAGAATAGCAACTGATTAGCATGTTAGCCAATTACCACGTGAAGCTAACTAGCATAAGTCAACGAAAACAGGCATGGTCAACTTCAGAGAGGTATTTCTCAGGAACAGTACCGAATATCAAAAATCCCTTCAGTCATTACTATGTGGCTCGGTCCAAAGATCATCTGATCAGATTTTGGACAAAATTGGATAAAATTTATAGGAGTAGTGAAAAAAAAGTTTTTCACTTACTTCAAAATGGCGGACAAACGAAACGTTGGAAAATGAAAAATGAGATATCGTCAGACTCAGCATAAGCCAAGGAATGTATTGACAGCAAAATTTGGACAATGCTTTCAAAAGTTATAAGCATTAGGGGTGCTCCGATCAGGATTTTTGAGGCCGATCATCGATCGTCGATCACAGAAAGCAGTATCTGCCGATACCGATCCCAATCTTTTTTAAAGCCTTCTTTTTATCATTTATAACTATTTATAGTGATACTCCAATCAGGATTTTTACACATTTA